GAATTTGTTTGAACATCAAAAAGACAATACTACGATTCTACTATCATTTTAATATTAATGACAATAAGTTGTTGTTGTTGTTGTTGTTGTTGTTGTTGTTGTAACTACAGAGCTGGAAGGGACCCTATGAAATCCAGCTCCTGTTACGAAGACACAGTGAGTTCGTTGAACTCCCAACGTCTGTCTCCGCAACCTGATACCTAAACCACTGAGCTATGAATCCCCTTAAAACATAGGAGATGAGCAATAGGAGGAATGCCTTTAGCATACTCAACATCTTTCACTGTTTCCTTTGGGGACAGCTGAAAGTGTGGGCTTCACTGAATATATGCAGGTCAGGGATGAGAAGAGTATGGAACTTGCATATGGACAGGTGGTTCCCTTGCTTTCTAGCTGAGGAGGAGCATCTACAAAAGGGGAAAAATCTGTCTGTGATACTCTCTTCCACTGAAATATTGACCTCAGAATTTTAGTTCCTCCTCCACTTGCCCAGAATTAATGACAAAACTTTTCAAGGGCTCGATATAGGTGTGCAGTATGACTGTGTCTTTCCCCCTGCCTACTCTAGGGCTGGCCATTGTAGATGGCAAGCTTCACACCCTATTAGGGGCCCACTGCACCTCTGCTTTCCAGATAAGCAGACCATTAGACTAGTTTCCTGTAATGGTCCTCTTCCCTCTTCCCCCTGATAGGTGGTGCATATCTGGCCCAGAAAGGAAGAGAGAGGCAAATAGAAAACAGCAAGGACAAGTACAGGACCCCACCCACTGGAGCAGTTGTTATCCAAAGGCTTTCCAGGATCTACAGCCAGTTCTGAGACTTTTGCATAACCTAGGAACATGTAACTTTGAAAACCAGTCTTCCATGACTTGGGTTTTATATGTGAGGTTACACCAATTACTGGGTCTGCTCACTTGCACTAAGTCCATCTGAATATCCAGAATTCTCTTCTATAATTTGCATCAAGAGCTTTCTAGAGCCTGATATTATTATTCATGCTTAGGGGCAAGAACAAGCTGTTCTGTTCACTGGCACCCCTTTTCTTTCAAAGCACTCTCATATTTCTTTTCACATTACAGTGGGGTCTTGACTTAAGAACGGCTTGAGTTAAGAACATTTTGACTTAAGAACCACACTCATAGGAAAATATTGACTTGACTTACATACTTAGATTTGAGTTAAGAACTGAAGAAAACCACGTGGGAGGCAGGGAAAGTGCAAAATTTGAACTTTCAGTTAACTGTTGGCCAGTGAAAAGGGTGCCTGTCTGCTTCCTCGCTCCTCCCAGCGTTTAGAGAGTGGATTGGGAGTCTTCAGACTGCCTGGTACTGCCTGGACTGTATTTTCCCTGCCTTCCCTGAACCTTTCTTGACCTAAGAAAAAAAGAAACAAAATATCCCCCTCTAGTGGTCGAAGGCAGAATAGCAACTTCCAATTAGTTTCTATGGATGGAAAAGAGCAGATACGGATCAAATGGTTTTCAATGCATTCCTATGGGAAATGCAGATTTGACCTGAGAACTTTTTGACTTGAGAACCGCCTTCCAATACGGATTAAGTTCTCAAGTCAAGACCCCACTGTACGTCAAAGAATCTTGTGTTGGCAGAGCAAATCAACATTCTACAAGGCAATTCTGGGGCCAGACTAACAACAACAACTACTACTACTGCTGCTGCTGCTGCTACTACTACTTTGAAAATGGGCTTTGGATCAGCACCATATTTGGCACAGATGTAGCAGAGTCTGTTCTTGCTCTGTGCTAAATTTGGGGATGTTTGGGCAAATGTTTTTTCAAATTACAATTTTCATAAATCAGAGAGGTTTTTATTTTCTTTGAAGAATTGAAATTTTCTGAGGGCATTAATAGCAGCAGTTGTAGATGTTAGAAAGATACTCATCTGTCCAAAACTGAATCTGTGGAAGTCAAGAAAGGTACTAAAATGGGATCACATGAGAGCTTGACTGCTTAATTTCACCCTTCTTGAAGCCAACGTTGCTGCATCAGTCTTGTACTTCCAGATATAGACATGGTAGTGTCCAGTGCCACGAAACTCTGAGAAGCTTCCACTACAGCATATAAAACCTCCCCTTCTAACTATTCCTCTGTACCTGTTAGGTACAGTACTTGTGTATATAATTTGTGCAAAAATCCATTACATAGTAAAAGTACTAAATTGTTCCTGTTCAGTTCAACTTTTTTGAATGACACAGGAAATAAAAACCTGTGAAGGAGCTCACCTGATTTCTGTGTTCTAGGTTTTTCACCCTAGAGCAGATGGAATTTAATACCATGTTGCATATTTCATGTTCATTGAAGGGCCGTAATAAGATAGGTGTTATGATATGCTATCTGTCTAACCTTTGTACCTCTTTTGTGCTGTCCATACTATAGGGTGATTAATTATAAGTGAGAATTACAATATATATTCTAGTTCTAGGTATAAACTAATTGATTACAGTTAGAAATTAGCAAGATTATCCTGTTTTCCTTCTGTAGTTTTTATAAAGGCTAGTTAAAAGTGTGGTTTTGACTTCGAAAAATGTACACATTTTACCAGTTCTTATTACGAGAATTAAACTGTAGCTCTGTAACCATTATCTGAGACTGATTTCTGTTAAAGTAAAATGATTCATTAATTCTATTTTTATTTGCCTGTTAATGAATGACCAGGCTGAATTTTTTTAAAATTTCTTTTTGTTGATCTCCTAATAGTGGTTGGGTGTTGTTGTGGGTATTCTGACTGTAGATGTGACAGCTCTAAATAATGACATTGTGTTGCATCCAAACCAGTCTCTATAGTTCTTTGGCCAATAGGTTCTGCTCCTTCCTGCGCCATTCCCATTTATTTTATCTAGAATGATCAGCTGTAACAAGCTATACTTGTTTCTCATTATATGGCTGAAGTATTTTAGTATTCAACATTCTTATTTGTCTACCTTTGTACTATTTCATTGGTCACACTATTGATGCAAGTCATTCTTAGTGGTTTCTCATTATATGGCTGAAGTATTTTAGCATTCAACCTTCTTATTTGTCTACCTTTTTACTATTTCATTGGTCACACTATTGGTGCAAGTCATTCTTAGCATCCTATGATAAATCCACATTTCAGATACATCTGGTTTTTGTTGTTATAATAGCTGCATTAAATTCCATGTCATGTAAGAGAACTGACAATACTTAGCCTCAAACTATTTGCATTCTCAATGCTGATTTTATGTTTCTGTTGCACAGTCCATTTTTCTAAATCACTGAGCTGTCTCTATTCTCACTTGTATTGCATAGCTGGGAGCCAACTGTTCGAGTCATAATCCAACATACTTATATTTGCCAACTTTGTCTACACTTGTGTTATAAATACAATTAAAATACACTTGTATTTTAGATACAAGATACTTCTTGGGCTATTTGGGTCTTTTTTTAAAAAAACTGATTTCAATCAATTATTTTTCTTAGCATTCATTTTAAAACTGTGTTTATTGCATATTTCACTGACTTCATTTAGTAAACTTTGCATACCATTTAAACTGCAATATTTTAAAGGCATACTATACTAGGTTGTAATAACAGGCTACAAGTATTGTATTATCGCATGTAGTCTCTCCATTGACAATGATAACATAATTTGAGTGAATAAGTGCTTCTTTAAATATGTTCTCCAATTGACAAACAATGGTGAGAACACATGTCTTTGTATCTGTGTATCCTCTGTTGGATGATCTTCAACTGTCACTGCAGCTTTTCATTGACAGTGCAGGTTGCCAATTTGCCAATTACACAGAAATCTATTATAATTTGAGTGAATAAGTGCTTCTTTAAATATGTTCTCCAATTGACAAACAATGGTGAGAACACATGTCTTTGTATCTGTGTATCCTCCGTTGGATGATCTTCAACTGTCACTGCAGCTTTTCATTGACAGTGCAGGTTGCCAATTTGCCAATTACACAGAATTCAGAATTTCTGTTTACCAGCAGCTCTGTTCGCTTACAGTGTTGGAATATGTCAGAGTCTTTCTCATAGTCAAAAAAGGGAGCATAATATCCACATTCATGCCACAGAATCTCCCCCAGATCCATAATTTGTTGGCAAAATTAAATGGAAAAAGAAAAAAAATGGGTTAAGTGGGGCAGAATCTTGTGCTGCTTCAAAAACTAGCAGATTCGTTGGCAAAATTAAATGGAAAAAGAAAAAACGGGGGTAGGCGGGGCAGAATCTTGTGCTACTTCAAAAACTAGCAGATTCATTTCAGTGTGAACTTTCTTGGATCAAAATCCACTACTTTAGACACAAGGAGCCCATCACCTGTATAATTTTACATATCCCGTGGAGGTGACAGTCATGACTAGGTGACAGATGACAGACAAATATGAAGAAAACAAAGTGACAATGCTTTATTAAGCTGTATGCTTATTACCCTAGCTAGAACATGCAACCTCGGGTAATAAATAGTCCCATTCTTGAGTTAATGAAACATTGCTACTTTTTCTGTTATCTGTATCCTCACCTGGTTCTGACTACCACCCCTGCAGGGATATGTATAAATACAGACAGAGGACATATATGTGTGATCCTTGAGTCTGAAGAAGTGGCTTTTGATTTGTGAAAGCTCACACTGAAAAAATTTGTTACTCGTTAAAGTGCTATAATATTTTGTCTCTCTCTCTCCTTTCTATTCTTGAATTTTGCCACCTTTCTGAGATAGAGTAACAAACTGACTGTATTAAAATCTGTGATTGCCACTGCCACTCTCTGCTCCTACACCAGCAAACTGGGGGTCGAAGAGAATCTTTTCTTATGTGTGTAGTTTTATTTGATTCTTTTTGTAAACCTCCCTGCATCCCAGTTAGGGGAGAAAGACAAAGTAGGGAATGCAATGGAATGAAAAGTCTTCCATTAATTATGAGAACATCCAGTGCAAATTATGAAAACAAATAAATATCTAGAACTTCTTTGCTATAAACAAACTAAAGCCTTGAATTCCACCCTCTTTCCCTAGGGAGCGTATGGAATTAGTGGAAGAAGCTAAGAAAATGGAAATGGCAAAATTCCGCTACATTCTCCCAGTGTATGGCATCTGTCAGGAGCCTGTGGGTTTGGTCATGGAATACATGGAGACAGGATCACTGGAAAAACTCTTGGCCTCAGAACCACTGCCCTGGGAGCTACGCTTCCGGATCATCCACGAGACAGCTGTGGGCATGAACTTCCTGCATTGCATGTCCCCACCTCTACTCCATCTGGACCTCAAGCCGGCAAACATACTGCTGGATGCCCATTACCACGTCAAGGTATGCCATAAGACTTCGGTATTTTACCTGGCATTTGTGCTAATAGGTTCAAAATGACATTGAAGATGAGAGAGATTATATCATAGTAAAGCTGATAATGCCTTTATCCCATATTTCTGATTGGAAAGAGGCCCCCAAAGTGCCTGATAGTAGTGAGAATTCATGGGTAATAATAGGTTACAAAGATACTTTAAGGAGTAGTGAAGGGTGATGAGAGGGACAGTAACAGAAAATGTTCCCTCCCCAGGCCTAATGTGTTACTGGTGATGGTGCTCCAGCTGTTTGAACTGGTGCTTTTTGACATCTGTGTGGAGACCAGATGGGAGAATTTCCCATCTCATCATAAAATATATTCCCTAGAAGTCATATTCAGGTAATACCAGATACTGGTCACAGGCCAAGATCCCCCCCCCCAAAAAAGACCAGTATGTATTTATATTTAAGCAATCTTCCAATTTTAATGCAGGCATACACAACTCAAATTATTTAGGCTTTTCCCACTGAGTTATATAATCACCACAGGCAAACATTTTTAAAACAGCATATTAACCACAGAAGAAACATTGGCCAAATATCTGTTGATTAGCTGTGCTAGCATAAGTGCAATCTTATGAACTCCAGTGGCAAATTGCCCCAAATAAACAGGTTGCCACTTCTATACCATCATACATCATTCATGTGATTCGATGCACATCAGAGGTGCAAGGGGCAACTCCTTGAAAAGTGGCAATTTGCCACTATAATTTGCATAATTGCACTCATGCTGCAGTATCTAGCCAATAAGATTCAAAGCATTATTCTTTGCTTCAGTTTTAATGTTAGTTTGCCTGACTAACGGCTCAATAAGAAATTTACATTTCATGCAGTACATGTGGGGAGGGTCTGTCACAGAGAGACAAGAAATTCCACTAGGTTGCTTTCATTTTAATGCTCGAGCTAAATCTTCCAGACCTACTTATGGTCCTTTACAAGGAGCAGTACTAGAGCTGAAATGAATTTAATTGTTTCTTTCCCACTAATGGATACCTGAGAGTGTGCGTCTGAACAATGCAGTCAGTGTCTTGCTACTTGGCATGTGAATAAAACAGGAAAGTATTCCTAATGCAAAGTATAAGTTTAATTTCAACCCAAATTCTCATGGTTGAGGGTGAACAAATAAAGAGGTTCCAAGCTCATGTGACAAGTTTTTATAGAAGGAGGTCATACTGTATACTTTTTACACTTAACTAGTGTTGGAAGAACATTGAATCAATCTTTAGTTTTTTAGGTACAGAATGAAAGTTGCAGTGCCCCACAAATTTGTTGTGGTCTTTGTTGGCTTGTAATTAGTTTGCAGTGCTGTTCATATTTTCCTCGTTTCAGATGTTTGTTGTATAACATTTGCAATAAGATGAAAATATTACAACATGGCTAAAAAGTAATATAGGCTTACTACCAATAAACGACTTCTAAAATTCCATCTGCTGTGAGATTGAATCTACACAAAAACTAAATAATCATTGACACTTCCAAATTACAGTGGTGCCCCACATAGCGACGATAATCCGTGCAGCCAAAATTGTCGCTATATGGATTCGTTGCTATGTGAAATAAAAAAGTCCAAAGGAATGCATTAAAACCCGTTTAATGCATTCCTGTGGGCAAAAAACTCACCTTTATGCGAAAATCCTCCATTTTCGCTGCCCGGTAAGCGAGGAATCCAGGCGAAAACACAGCGGGTGGCCATTTTTTTAACCCGGCGGCCATTTTGGAACCGCCTATCAGCTGTTGGGAAATCATCGTTATGCGAAAATCTAATATAATATAATGGCTGAAATCCTACTGCACAACTCTGTACAGTGGTGCCTCATTAGACAATTGCCTTGTGGGATGAAAAACCCGCAAGACAATTGGTTTTTGCGATCACTATGGTGCCCTGCAAGACTTTTTTTTCTATGACCGTGCTTTGCAAGACTTTTTTTAAAGATGGATGCTTCGCAAGACTTTTTTTTAGACCAATTCTTCGCAAGACTTTTTTTTTTAGATCAATGCATAAGGAACCTTCGCAAGACTTTTTTTTTTTTAGATCGATGCATAGGGAACATTCCAGGATGATTTTTTCACAAGACAACAATTTTCGCGGAACGAATTAAAATCGTCCTGCGAGGCACCGCTGTATGTGCAATTTTGACAATGCAAGACTTTTTTTTTTTTAGATCGATGCATAGGGAACATTCCAGGATGATTTTTTCACAAGACAACAATTTTCGCGGAACGAATTAAAATCGTCTTGCGAGGCACCACTGTATGTGCAATTTTGACAACGTCATCATCATCATCAGTAAATTGTCAATGATTAAAGGCGATTTTGGCTTTGGGTTACTTACTCTGTCTTTGTTATGTAATCCACTTGTCTGTAGGACACTGATGTACTCAAACCGGTTTGAGTATTTTGACAGAACAAATACCAAGTAACAGAAGTAGAACACTTTGTGCTAATGAATGCATTCTAACAGGCTTCTGTCACCATCCTCTTCTTGTTTCATCTAGTTAAGAAGCCACCTTCGAAGCTAGTTTTGAGTGGACTAGCCTTCAGAAAACAACTAAACTATAAATCAAGCACACAGTACAGAACTTGAGGTAGTGTGTTGTTTGGAGCAAGCTTTGCTTCTACTGTATTTAAAACTGAATTGCTGATCTTATATGATAGTTCACTTCCTTATTCACCTCACTGATTTACTATTGCCCTTTTCACAATCTGGGATCCAATGCATCTGTCTTCTTTTTAGTCCAGTAGTCCATCTTCTCTATGATGGTACTTTCCAATGGCAGGAGATTACGGAAACCATAGTTTAAACATTTGAAGAGCACCAGGTTGGGGAAGGTAGCAGAAATTAAAAGTATTTATTTGGGGGAGGATGTTCATCCATACTAATGGTAATAACACCACAAGGAGTGTTTCAGCTTTATAGAAAGTTACTTTCTGTGCATGCATGGTATGACACTGTCAGTTTTTCACTTTAAAATATGGAGATGGATGTTACAAAGCAGTGGTACAGCATGAACAAGTTTCTTGGTTCATTTCATGGCATTCCAGGAGAAAGCACCACAAAAGACTACTAAGGGCTGCTACCAGTGAATAGTGATGATATTGAGTTAGGTAGACCAGCTACTTCACACCAGCATAAGGCAGTTTCATGTGGTCAGGACTTTTCTACCATAGTATTTTGCTTCTGAGTTTGTTTGTTTTTTGGGAAGTATTGATGGATTATGCACTTGAGTGCATCTGTTCAGTTGTTTTTTCCCCATAAACCCCCCCCCACCCCGCTTTTGCACTTTTTAAAACACTTTTGTCCTAAAAGAGAATATGAGTTAAAATTAACTTATCTGAATCAATTGTAAAGATTCCTCTAACGCACCTGTAGAGAGTCCCTCACTCTTCAGATACTGACTCAGTATGTTTGACTCTTCTCCATCACTGCTTTGGGTGTGTTAGGAGGTGACTCTTTAAACCTAATTAAAAGCCCCTGTTTATGGTTATTTGTGGGTATGTTTGTATGACAGGAAGTTGCATGGTTCCTACTGACGTTAACAAGGACTGTATGAGTAAGCTTCATCCACAATGTTCCACAAAGCCTCTGATTTTAAGACCACAAAATGTCTTCCAGAATGTCTCTCTCTTGCAAAGATTTGGGAACCTTTCAAGGGGCATGGTTTAGCATTTTGTATGCTTTGAAATGGTAGCAATTCTAACTCGAGTGTCACTGTCACTTGTGTTCTGAGGATGACAAGTGCTGACTTATTTATTCAACCTTATAACTTGGAAACAGTTTCCTAGTGACTAATGACAAAAAAGTGAATGACTTCTAAAACTGACAATCATGGGTACTGTGCACAGAATTTAGAGAATTTACTGCGGAGAAACAACCTGGGCATCTCTGAGTTGTAATCCAGAATAACACAGGAGGGTTCTCCCACCCCCAGAACTCTGCTACAGCTGAGATCAAATTGCACAGTTTTAGACAATAAGTCAAGTTGTCACTTAGTTAATGAAAGCAAGCCAAAAAAAATTGTAATCTCAAAATCAAAGCTTAGAAGTGCCTCTTTTGGTAGCTTGTTCTGTCTATATCTTCCCCCACCCCCAACTTCCCCATGTTTCAGCTTTGGTTTGAACTGGACTTTTAAAATTCTATAGTACTTTTAATTTTCTTCAGGGAGTGGGGGGGAGTGAAATTAGATTGCCTTGTATACTCCCTTCTCCATGGCCTCTGTGACTCACATATAATGGGCCTTGTGCCTGTGCAGAGCAATATTTAGAGTGCTTCAGTAGCTTTTGTGGTTCCTCCTCCCTCACCTTCCTTTGTCCGTGATTAGGCAGGTGCTAACAGCTCTCCTTTGGGTTCCCTCTCATGTGCTGTATGAACAACAGGCCAAGGAGTATTACAGTATTTTTCCCTTCAAAAGGAATCTTATATTATAACTAGAGGAGCTTAATCTCTTCCTCCACACTTCCTTCTTTCCCATTTGCATCTAACTTTTCTTTTTGTTTCTTCCTTTTCCTTTTCCCCAGTTCCAGTTAAATATATTTATTCCCCAACCTGCAATGATCCATTCTGTACTTTCACACTTAGGTTTCACTCCAAGGGTGGGGAACCTGTGGCCCTCCAGATGACACTGGCCTATTGGCCAGGTCAGTGGTAGGGAATGATGGGAGCAATGGCACATTGACATCTGGAAAACCCCAGTTCATTCCATCATAAACCAAATTCTTCCATGAAGCTAACTTTTTAAATATCATATGTAAGTTGATAGCAAGATGTATGTACTTATTAAACATTACTTATTCTCAGTTTTAGAGTTGGCCAAGTATGAAATCACAATAAAATAATGTTTTTAAAGAAAAAAGGTATTTCTTTCTTACCCACAATACCAATCAAATGATCTACATAGCTTACAGACATTTCAAGACTATAAAAATCAAACTATTTAAAATAATTCTTAAGCAGGTATTCCCGTAACAATTCATTTCTTTCACTCATTAGAGTTCCTGATTTATTTTCATGCTTCAGTCCTATACACATTTACCTGAGAATACGTCTCCTTGAATGTAGTAGGTCCTAAGGTTATATAACTTCAATGTTGACAGTGAAGAAACTGAAATTGCTAAAGATTTGCTAGACTTCAGTTTGATCAATGATCTAAACGGAGACTGACGCCAATAAACCAGAAGACTGTGATGCAGAAGGACAGCTATGAATGAACTAGAGAAGATCCTCAAATATAAGGAAGGATATCTTGCTGGAGGCTAAGGCCAACATCATTTATACTATGATATTACCACATATTATATATGGATGTGTTTTGGGCCAATCAAATCTGAAGCCTCACTAGAGGCCAAAATCGATTGAATTGAGCTATCCTGCTTCGGACATACTATGAGAAGGCAAGGCCCAAGGAAAAGACAATGAGGTTAGGAAAGGTGAAGGCAGTAGAAAAGGAGGAACACCAAACTGGAGATAGATTGACTCAGTAAAGGAACCACAGCCTTGAGTTTGCAAGAGCTGAGCAAGGCTGTTAATAACAGGACCTTCTGGAGGTCATCAATTGATGGGGTTGCTGTATGTTGGAAATGGCTTCATGGCACATAACAAGAGAGATATAGGATTATATTGTTATATTTAATCATCTACAATTGTAATCAAGACAGTGTGTATCGATTATAAATCAAAGTATTTAATCTTCTTGGTTCTGTTGTACACTATTTTGTCCTATGTACATAGCTGTGAAAATCAGTCTTACAAAACCGTGCTTGTGTTTCTAACCATTGATTTAATATAGAGAGGCAAACGGTACTCCAGCTAAATGCTGTTCCTAAGGGCATAAGGCACAGTCACATGCCCATCCAGCACAGTACTCTAAAAGCTGTTGCTCCTTCATTTGTTAACAGTTTTTAAATAGTATTTGAAGTGTCACATCTTTTCATTCAAGACCTCATGAACTTTGAGGTCTTTCAAAGAGGATCTTTTAAACTTGCTCCATGGGAACACGAAAGGTCACATCTTTTCATTCAAGACCTCATGAACGTTGAGGACGAAAGAGGACTTTCCTAGGTTTGGCATTTCCTCCTGCAGGGTTTTAGGGTAGCCCCTGAAACGGCCCCTTTCCAGGGCCAAGCAAATATCTTCCTGTTCCCTCTGTTTCTTTCGGTTGATTGACAAATCGTCTCGCTTGCTAAGGGAAGGGCTCTTACCGTGTGGACGCTATATTTTCTTTTATCGGTGTGTGTTTCCAATTGTGTTAAAAGATATTTTTAAAATTCAATTTTAATTGTGCTTTAAGCATAACAGAAGAAGAAAAAATTGAAGGAGAAAAAAATATGTCAAACAAAGACATAAAACTAGAAACAAATTATCCAAATTTTAAAAATGGAGTGGGCTAGGGAGACCAGCAACAGTAATAGTTTCATTTTTTTAAAAAAAAAATTGTAGTATCTAGTAAAGGGAGCTGGTTGAGTATCTCCGTGCTTTGCATTTTCTTTCTAGAATTGAGCTGAAGGGTGGCACTGCTGGATAGCTCAGTGGTTTAGGGCTCTGGCTGTGGAGCCAGATGTTCGGAGTACAGATACCTGCTGTTTGTCCTGGAAAAATGGCAAGCCTGTGTAGCTGTGGGAAAGCTGCACAGTCCCAAGGTACCCACAGAAGAATGAAATGGTAAAACACTTCTGAATATTCAGTACCTAGAAACCCCTGGAAAGGATTGCCATAAGTCAGAATTGACCTGACGGCATTCAATTACTAATTATCATAAACCGCAATGACTGAATGTCCTGCCTGGTTATTTGGGCTTTGTTCATCAGTTTTAAAAGGTTTTGTGCTCTTATTTGTATGTGCATTGACTGTATCGACAGTACATGATTGTAAGGCATCATTCATTGGGAAAAAAACTGTCAAAGAATAAACAAATGATTCTGAAGTGCCTGTTACTTGGTAGGGACAAACAGAATGCAGAGTGTGGGATGTAATCTAGACAAGCACTTAAGCCACAGTGAAAGTAAGTACTGTAGAACTTAAATGTGATGGCTTTGACTCAATGTGCTCTAAGCCTGGAGCCTTGGGATGCTTAGGTGAATCTCTCTCTCTGCTGCTTGGGCATTGTGAGAAAATAGGAGGGGGCATGACCATGAAATCACTTACTCTAGAATATACCCTCTGCCATTTTTCGCAGAATGGCTGGAGGGAGAAGGCATCCTCAGTTTAAATAAACACACAATTTGTTATTACCCAGACAAAAAGCTTGCCATATGTTAATCTTCAGACAGGATTTGTTTGCTCAATATCTTCTATAGGCTGATACAGCTTTTTTTTAAAAAAATCTGTTTGGCCTTTTTCTATGTTTTGTTTTACTGGTTTAGATACAACAGAGGCTCAGATTATTTTTTTAATTTGCTTTACATTTTGAAGTATTAGTTATTAACTGCAATTTAGGAGCATAACAGAAGAAGGTGATAAAGTTGAGCATCTCAGAAGAAGGAAACCACTCACAGAGCAATTATTTTGGGCAGATGTATTTATGTAGACCTTTTTCTCCATATCAGATTTCAGATTTTGGATTAGCCAAATGCAATGGTCTTTCGCATTCTCATGATCTGAGCATGGATGGGCTTTGTGGCACCATTGCCTACCTCCCGCCGGAACGCATTAAAGAAAAGAATCGATATTTTGATACCAAGCATGATGTCTACAGGTATGGATCTGTTTTTTTTCTTCTCCTCCTGTCTCTATTGCACAAGTAGCTGTTGGCCTCATCTTGCTGAATTGAACACTAGGAAATATTGCTAAGTTCAGAAAATCAGCAACTGATGAAATTTATTGTTTACACTGTTTTGTTACAATTCAGTACCAGCAAATGGCAAATTTGAACCAACTCCATTAAATCTGGGATGAGGGACCTAAAGAAGCCTCAGTAATTTGGATGCATAACTGTCTTATGTAGATCAATTAAGGTCTCTCTAGATTCGTCCCTGTACTTGCATGCTAAGCTAATCTCTGTAGATATTTTTAAATTTCTTGGGGAGGAATGTCGTAGCCCTGGCATTCAAGTTCCCATTGGTGCAATGGATTCTTCCACTGAAAAAATTTTTTGGGGGGGGGGGTAGGTAGGTGACTAGTCATGTTAAATATGTCAAAAACAAAGGAAAGTCTTTGAAGCCACACAAATAGGCAACATTTTTATTAGGATGAACTGTAAATGGACATAATATGCAAGCTTTCACGTTTTTAAGAACTCTTAATTTAGCTAAATAGTAGAAAACTGAGAGTGGGGAAAATATGTAGAAGTCCAAATATTTGACTAGGTGTTTCAATCCATGGAGAGCAGCCATCAAGCCCAGTTCCAAGTTGCAAGTGGGACTTGATGAGCAAGAGAGTCATGCAAGTGTTACATGAGCTTTAGAAAAACCCAATGGGAGTGAAGCTATATGGAGGTACCCCTACTTTACAAAAACAGTAGCAACATGCATATCTAACCATGGGGGGGGGAGAGAGAGAGTGAGAGAGCTTTTTGCATGTGCTGATTTTAGCTGTCTTGGGAAATACCTGGACATGCTGATCATTTGAGAGACATTCAAAGTGCATCTCATGTTCATTTTATCAGTTTCAATAGCCATGATTTACTCAGGGGCAACCAAAAGAGGACATTGTCCACTTGCTTTAGGGACTTATGATGCAGTGGTTAAACTGCAGTACAGCACTGAAGACTCTGCTCATAATCTGAGTAGTGGAGAGTAGAAGACAGTGTGGTCCACTGGTTGTGTCACATTCTTTCCTGCAATCCATAAACTTTTCTTGGTCATCAGCAATGCTAATTGGCTATAGATTCAGGGCAGATAGAAGAAAGGAGTTCTGCACACAACATGTAGTTTAAGTTAGAGAATTATTAGCTCAAGGTTGTTGTGGCGAACCTTTGCTCAGATGGCTTATTTAAAGGATTAGGCCAGTTTTATGGTAAGTTAGTTCTGATGGTATAAAAACTAGACATTTGAGACAACTGGGTTAGATATTGCTCTCCTGTGTCTCTTGTAAGTTTCCAATTGCATCTCTTTTGTTGCTGATAGAAGCAGAACATTGGGCTGGACAGATTTTGACTTCCAGCAAGCCAATTCTCATGTTCCTAATGCATATGCTTATCCTCACATTACTTCTAATGGCATATCAGATGTCCTAGAATGATTAGCAGTCGGCAACCTAGTACTAAAACAAAAACAGAACTGTATCATTTAAAAAACTCTTGACATTTGTGTTTCTTTTGCAGCTTTTCCATTGTTATCTGGGGAGTTCTCACCCAAAAAAAGCCCTTTTCAGGTAAGGCAATAAATATTTGTTTACATGCATCATATATTATATATGCACATCAAACAAAACACTTCCCACAGTGAGTGTGCCATTTGTGATGTGGTTAGTCTTCAGCCTCCTCCTGCACTGACAGATATAATCTGTTCCAGGTGCATAAAACACTGTCCACACCTTTCAAGGATAGCTTTGAAGAAGCCTTGAAGAAGAAGCCTTCAGCAGCCCTTTGTGTACTGAAAGCCAGACTGAAGGCATAATAATACAAGCTCAGGAAGGCCATTGAATATAAGCCTCTGTTGCCAGACAAAATCATTTCTGCAACCATTTTGTTCCTGACTCTCAATAACATAATCCAAATTTCCTTCTATGGTCTAAGCAATGAGCATTTGGACTGCAGAAAATTACTTATGGAACCATAGCATGAAAAACCACTGTAAGAAATTAGGTCACACACTTCCTCCATCAATAGCATTTCTAGATGTCACTATGTAATATACAGGCTCTTGAGCAGTGGTGATAATTCATCTACTGTTAACAAAAGGAAATACATTTAGGTGCATCTCCTATGCTCTAAGGCCAGAATTATTCCCTCCAGTACATCTATGAAGTACTGTTGTATTAAATGTAGTATTTTTTTTCTTTCTTGGTGAACAGTCTGGTAGAATACATTACCTGGAAGAACAGAATGCTTTACGTGGAAAAATAGTGCATGTTACTGAGTACATTTAAGGTTAGGTTTTAAAAACCACATCCTAAGACACGTAGAACGTGTGTTAGAATGTAGTGTTATCTATAGAGTCAACCCATGTAGAAAATGAGATACTGGTGCAACTGGTCTGTTGAAAAGGTGAAAGTATTTTTCATTGTTCAAGGCAGTTTTAATGGGTAAATTAAATTTCGTCCTTTGTAGAAGAAAATAACATTCTACATATCATGATGAAAGTCGTTAATGGCCACCGTCCGCAAATACCGCCTATTTCCAAATCCAGACCTCGTGCATGTAATAACTTGATCAAACTGATGCAAAAGTGCTGGCAAGATGACCCTAGTAAAAGGCCAACATTTCAAGGTAAACATTGCTTTTAATCTGCCTGTTCTTCAGACTACTGAGTCATTTCATTGTTCACAGTTACATTAATACCTTATGGAGCTCCACCAAAATCTAGTAAAAATGATGAAACAAGGCCATGCAATGAGGAACTTCCTCCTACCGGGAAGGGTTTGTAAAATAACTTATTTGATCAATAATAAATGTTGATTTTTATGTAAAGTGATCTAGCCAATTGGCAAATCAAAGGAAATGAAGGAAGCAAACTATAAAAACAAGAACAGAATATGGTATTTTGAAAGAGTACCAAATTTGATAGCGTTGGCTCCCAGACTGAACTATCTATAATGCTTAGCTGTGATGATACAGTATATTTTTACTACAACTCAGTAACTTTGGATGGTTTATTTTGTACCATGTCTTCTCTAGAACAAATATAGTTCTTGTCAAGTGCAAAAAGGGTTCAGTTTGATTAGCTTTAGAAGCCATCTATTAAAGAGTGTTGTGAATGTACAGTGGAGAACTAAGTGTGACTTTAATGCTACTAGACCACATAGAGTGTCTTTGAATATGTTGCATAGAACTTATTTTCAAAGGACACTTGTTCTTGTGGGTAAGAATAAAAAAGAAGAGCAGGTTTTGCTGAAATTAAATAATGATTTGGGAGCTTATATTCATTCTAATGTATGGGTGCCGCACTGTGCAATGTGAAGCTGGAGGGGGGGGGATACAAACCCATGACTTAATGCAGCTTTCCTCTTTCCTAGTTCTTGGTGACAAAACTGAGCAGGGCTCCCCATCCTGATAAGTTGTGCAACAGGCATATTTTGTCTGACTGAATTTGTTTTATGGTTACATAATACAGTTTTTATGAGGTAGAATTCTACCTAGACTTAGTGCTTACACTAAGGAAATAAAGTCTGTTTGCAGAAAGATTTGCCTGGGGAAGCTGGACCTCCCATGTTTGTTCTTGATAATTTGTTGTAAAAAAACCCCAAACCCCGATGACATGAGCATAACGTTGCCCCATTGTCTAGCTTTATGCAAAAACTATGGTTGGCTGAACTCCTTTCTTTCCACATGTGCACAGTGTAACCAAATTTTATCTGTTTAAACAGTCACCTGCTGATTGTTGTTGTTAAAAGGAAAACTGGCATGCTGGGAAATAATACTCATGCATATTTTCTGGCTGTCTTCTGGTATGGGTTTCATCTTTGTGTTTTATTTTGATTTTCAAGAAATTACCTCGGAAACAGAAGACCTCTGTGAAAAACCGGAAAATGAAAATAAGGAAGCAATAGTCCAGGAAGACATTAAGACTACTCAGCCTTACCCAAAGGTGTGTACTTGAGAAGGATAGTAAAATACAGAAGGAGTTGGGAATTTCTCATGTCTCTGTTCTGGCAAATATGTGACTAAGGCATTTCACTTTTCTTTCTAGGCAATGCCTGGCCTATCCCAACTGAAGCAAGAGACTGATCCCACATCGGCTGAGGATTGCAGCCTCTCTGAGTTGCTGTCCCAGCTAGACTCGGGCATTTCACAGACAGAACAGCCCGAAGAGCTCACCCGTAGCGCCTCTGAGTCAAGGCTCGCTTCCAGTGACAAAAGGCTTTCAGGAGTGTCCTCTGTAGATTCTGCCTTTTCTTCACGAGGTTCTCTGTCACTGTCATTTGAGAGAGAGAATTCTGGAATTGGTAAGGACTTTATACAAGGTTAAGGCAAATGTTGGGTGCATCTTGGATCTGGTGGGGACAGAATATGAGATAGTTCTTCTCCGTGGTCTATGCACATTTTGTGGATGCATTCTGCACCCTCTCAAACCATCTGCCTGGGATATCCAGGCATCTCTTTTGGACATTTTCCAGGAGATGATGGACCATCATCCTGATGAACCTCTATTGCTAATGTAGCCACAGGGCCTCAAAAATACTATCTAATTTTTATCAGGCCAGTTGATAGCAAACCAATCTGGGATTCTGCCCAGGCATTAAAGCCACACAAGTCAGATGCTTTTTTCCTTATGATGCACTTCCCTGGGTATTGTCAGGAGACCAGCATGGAGAACGTGCTGTGTGACCGTCCACAAATGTACTTCCATAGGAAGCAGCAGGAAAGTATGTTGTTTTCCTGCAGTTTTCTTTGTTGATTCATTTGTGGGTGGCACATTCTCCATGCTAGTGTCCTGATCATTCCCAGAGAAGCTATTAGCCTAACATCATCTGCTGTGACAACAGCACTGCAGAGGCTTTTCTGCCACCGGCATGTTGACTGACGATACTAAGAACTGTACCAGGGAACCCTCAGTATGTATGCATGCTGAAGATACCAGATCCGGTGCTTATCATCTTCAGTTAAAAGATAATCGGGTAACCATGTGCTGTGCAACTAACCTGTGTTCCCCCTCTAATTCCTGGCAGCAGTTCTCAGAGGTCTGGCAAAACATTTTCAGTCTTCAGTATTGCCATAGATAACATAGCCAAGCTTATCCATAGGAAGAAGGAGGAAATGAATGGCATTCAAAGCACTGAATATCTCGATGCTTTGAAATTTTGACAGTTGTGGCACATTACTTTATAGATTGTCTTTAAATGCATACTTGTATTTATATGTGCACGTATGCCTATGCAGCATGTACAATTTGGTGCCTCTGAATTCAGTTCAACAAATGCTGATCACCCGGTTACTCAAAGCATCTCTAGTACTAACCAGATGGTGGGAAAGTGTGTGGTCTCCTGCTGTCTGCTGTGGAAGATTAGTAGGGTTGAAGAAAACTGCTCTCTACATTTTGGCAGTATACTAGATTTCTAAATTGGGAATGTGGGCAACGGATCTGCCATTTTGCTTCTTTAGTCGAACTCTTAACCTTATGTTTGTGGCAGTAACTGCATGTGGAAGCTTGATTTCAATTGAATGTTGCTTTTTTTACTTTTCGTCTCTCCAGATATTGGTTCAACAGATATTCAGAAAAGAAAGCTAGCAGAGGCAATCGTATCAGGAGACACTGGAAAGTTGATGAAGATCCTTCAGCCTCAGGATGTCGATCTCATTTTAGATGGGAATTATAGCCTTCTTCACTTGGCTGTTGAATCAGGCCAGGAAGAATGTGTAAAATGGCTCCTTTTGTATAATGCCAACCCCAATCTGACCAACAAGAGAGGCTCTACACCTCTGCACCTGGCTATAGAGAAAAAGAACAAAGGTATTGTTGAGCTTCTCTTGGCCAGGAAAATCAATGTGAATGCTAAAGATGAGGACCAGTGGACAGCCCTCCACTTTGCTGCTCATAATGGGGATGAGCTGAGCATGAGAATGCTGCTGGAGAAGAATGCCATGCTGAATGAAGTAGACTTTGAAGGGAGAGCTCCCATCCATGTTGCCTGCCAGCATGGCCAAGAGAACATTGTACGCATTTTCCTGAGACGAGGGGTTGATGCAGACATCAAAGCAAAGGACAACTGGGTGCCTTTGCATTACGCAGCCTGGCAAGGTCACTTACCTATTGTTAAGCTTCTGGCTAAGCAGCCAGGAGTCAATGTGAATGCTCAGACAGTGGATGGAAGAACCCCTCTGCATCTGGCTGCCCAACGAGGGCATTACCGAGTCGCTCGTATACTTGTGGAACTGCAGTCAGACATCAATGTCAGAAATGTGTTTCTTCACACTGCTCTCCACGTAGCTGCTGAAACAGGCCATACCAGCACTTCAAGGTTGCTGCTCAACCGTGGTGCGGATATTGAAGCAGTAACAGTGGAAGGCTGCACTGCACTCCACCTAGCAGCTCGCAATGGGCACTTACCAACCACCAAGCTGTTGACTGAGGAGGGTGCGGACGTCTGGGCTCGGGGCCCTTTAAACAGGCTGGCACTACACCTTGCTGCTGAAAATGGACATGATGAGATTGTAGAGGAACTTGTGAATCCAGAAAATGTCAATGATTCCGATGAGGAAGGGTTGACTTCTCTACATCTGGCAGCAAAAGGTGGACACATGAGCACAGCTAAGCTTCTGTTAAAGCGCGGGGCCCTTCCTAATGTGCAAAACCTTGCATGTCAGACCCCATTGCAACTGGCTGCACAAAATGGGAGTACTGCTCTTGTGATGCTATTTAGTGAGACACAAGGCACCTGCTGATGTTTCCAGTCTTCCTCGTGAGACGGTGGGAGCTTAAGCAGGAGTTTCCATCCTCTGACTGTTACTTTGGCAAGCGTGTCTGCTTGTCTTGCAGGCAAGCCCAAATTCCCTCCTAGCAAAACATATTGGTTGATGTAACAATCCAGTGGGAATGACTGTGGGAGCGGAAAATGCAGTCTGGCACCGTACCTGTAAGATGGTGTTGAGCAAGCCATAAGTAAAAGAAATGTTCTTTCCCTGATGCTTCAGCAACAGTGGAGTTGACTTGCCCTTATAAAGGTGATAAGAGTAACACCTTTCCAAAAGATAAGGTAGTTTTAACTGAAGACTTGTCTCTTTCAAAGGAATCAAAAGTTATATTATTTCAGTTTTTTCTTACATTCAGACAAATGATGGGAGAGACATGGTAGAATGTTACAGAAGAATATTTATGAAATTGATTTTTCTTTGCCTGTATCCTCAGTGCAGTAGCAAATGCAGACATTAGCACTGTTGTGAGAAAAATGCTGGAAGGATACTTGTCCTTAAGCCACACGGATAACAATCAAAATGTCGGTTTCATAATAGGCAAGAGACTGTTGAAAATGAATGCGAGAAACACCCATTTCAAAGCTGCACATTTCTGGGTTTTCTGATGGTCAGTTTTTCCATGATCATCATCATCAAAGCTACTGCTTGCAATGAAAAGTGTGAGCAACCCTATGTTAATTGAAGGGCGTATTGCATAGAAATTCGTTTCTTACATACAATACCAGCTTATGTATATATACAGTGTATATGCATGGTCTTATAACTCATAGTGTATGAATGTGAATGAACGCAGCAAACCAAGAGAATGCACACACATTTATAATGAAGCTCAAAAAATTCATGACAACAAGATTAGATAAAAATCTATTTGTTTGTATGTTCTGAAGAGCAATTTTTAAATGGTATAAATTGCTGAACCACATGTACAGTACTGTATTGTCTCTGAAATTTTTTTGCTGTGTTTGATAATCTAATATAAGGATATACTGTGTATATAGTATTTCAGTCCATTGTATGTCTTTTTTTCTACTGTAGAAAACTGAGACTCAACATCTGGGTATGTTTTAATACACCTTTTATAACGTGCATTTGTTTTTCAAACATGACCTGCTATCAATAAAATACTTCTGTTTTGCTGGTAAAATGGCTTTTGTGACAAACTGAGTTGTGTATCAGTTGTGAAAAACTCCATCTCAGAATCTTGATTTTGTTTACACGAAAGGGTGTGCACACACGGTCTAGCAAAACTTCAGATCATAAGATGGCTGGTAAGCAAAGAGGTGGAGACAGTTTTTCTATTTTCTTACTGACTAATCAAGAATATTGGTTGGAGAAAGCTGCAGACTCCACTGAGACGGTTCATTATAAATGGTGACTTTCGACACTCTTTCTCACTTGAAGAGAGAGTTGGTAATTCCAAAAATAAAATTAGAGCTTGCCTTTTATCTTTGCCTGCTGATGCTTTTTTTTTTGTTTGTTTTAAGAATTTTAATCGAATTGATGGAGCAGTGCCACACTGTCAAGCTTGCAGGATTAAATATACTGTGACTTTGTCTTTCTTCAGAGTTGTTCACAGTGTCAGGCATGCATTCCATATAACTAAGCATTTCCATGTAATTATCACATAACATCAGCAAGTATTTTAAAGTTACCCAATTGTTCATTGAGTGCTGTTGACTTCTGTAGGAAGTATGCCTAAGGGGAAGCTTCCCTAGAAGAATAGCAATTGGCAACTGGCACACAGGCCTAGTTCTCATCTCAGTGATTTGCCAAGAAATGTGAAATTTCTGAGGACTCTGCTCTTTCCACCTGGTTGGTACTATCACACCAGCTCCCTAAAACAGGTTAAAGGGGTATTGCTTGTTCAGTTTGAGTCAAGATGATATGACAGACAATGTCTTTCCAAATGCTGGAGTTGCTAATAGATCTGTGACTACCGGGAACAGCCCATATTACCCTTCCTTAGAATGAACCACAAGTAGTTCAGCAATTTCTCTACATTTTGGCTGAAAGGAACTACTGTATGTGTATTCTGTGGACTGAAAAATGATCAAAAATAGAGAAGTTAATGCTAAGCTGAGACTTTAGATGATCAGGAGAAGCAAGTACATCCCCAAAACCCACTAGTCAAAAGCTATGTTCTTGGGGGAAAAAAATGTAGTTAAATGCAGTGAAGACAAAACATCCACGTGGTGCTAAACCTAATATACTCATGGCAGGTAAGATGCACCCTCCCAGTGTGGTGCCATCTGGCATCTTGCATTTGAATTTCCATGATCCTCTCCCCTTGACTGTGTTAGGTGGGCCTGAAAGTTGCTCCAAAACATTTGGGGTGCAAAAGGTGTAAAGGAAGTTTCCCATAGATCAGTGAACAATTAGGAAAGGATTGATGAATGGAATTGTTGAGAAGTTCCACTGGAAGAAAATACTTCTTATTTTAGTGGGTGCTTTGAACTCTGAAAGGTAACTTCTTTTAAAAGATAATCACACCACTGAAGGGCCAATTTAGAGGAAACAGATGTCACTTTACTCCTTCTCTGAAGGAGAAAAACAGTTCTATGACACATGTTCTTTATCATCTTCAGCACTGGTTGTATATGAGGCAGACTAGGCTGTGCCACCCTCTATAAAATCCCCCACAGACCACCCTATGCAGCTATCCTGTTCTATTAAGAAACAAGTTGGTGTAGATCTTGTTTTTCTGGTAAACCTGTCATGTGGAATCAAGTTTGTGCAACAGAGGAGTTATGAATGAAAGGGTTGAGCTGTGCCTGCAGGGTTGTTAGTAATAAATCAACATTCTTCTCTGTTGCCACAGAGAATCCTGAGCATGTTCAAACAGCAGGCCTTTTCATGAGTTCAGAGTCCTGTAGGAACAAAACTTAATAGCTGTCCATTAGCACAGCTTTTTATTAAAGCTGTCAGTTGAGAAGCGTTTTACCAAGGCTGATAGCAGATAATGGACCCACTTGTTAATTAAAGATGAGTGTCTGAACTACAGAAGGCATGACGTCATGGGACCACACCTTTTCCTTTTAGTTGTGTCCGTGGAGAATAGGCGATCAGCTGGATACCCCTTTCCCTTTATTTTGCATTTGGCAAGTCCATCGCCTCTTCCTGTTTTAAACCTTGGGTCTGCATGGGGATCCTCAGAAACTTGGGAACCTTGTTAATATATTGTAGTGTTAGCTGGGGAACCATTGGGCTGAACTCACTGGGTGACGCTGCATCATCATGTCTCCTTCCAGCTCCTCTCTACTGTCTTAAGGGGTGGAGAAGTCTAAAGCAGAAGACCTATATATGTAGACTCCTGATGTGATTTTGAACCCAGCACAGGTAGGGTTCTGCACCTTGGATGGGCAGAAGGGGGGGATATGGAGCAGGCTCCTTATTTCAAATCTTTCTTCCAGAATGTATGGGCTGGTGGAGCTTCAATTCATAACCGTGCTTAGTGTGAAAAGAGAAGGGCACCCCAAAATATATTGATAAGAGAACTCTGTTTTTCTGTCTATTTCCCTCGCTCCAATTGAAATTTGTTGTTTAGTTGTTAAGTCGTGTTCGACTCTTCATGACCCCATGGACCAGAGCATGCCAGGCCCTTCTGTCTTTCACC